TAGCCATGGCTGCTTATGGAGTGATGAATCAACGCTATAGAATTGCAACATGGCAACGGAAGTATGGCATTCAGAAGAGACTTAAGTTGGAATAAAATCGCTGGGCATCAACCATGCAGCACTCCTAGGCGTCAAATGTATGCTGCCCTGACTTCCACAAAGCACCAATTTCAAGTATTGCTTTTAGTTGTCAAAAAAGACATGTCACAACAAACATAGTTCACACAAGTTCTGCAAGCAGGGGGCAGAAGCTATGTTTTTTCTATTGCATTCTTTTACAGGGACAAAAAGTACCACTTTTACAGTGGTACCTCGGGTTACATACGCTTCAGGTTACATACGCTTCAGGCTACAGACTCTGCTAACCCAGAAATTGTGCTTCAAGTTAAGAACTTTGCTTCAGGATGAGAACAGAAATCGTGCTGCAGCGGCACGGCGGCAGCAGCAGGCCCCATTAGCTAAAGTGGTGCTTCAGGTTAAGAACAGTTTCAGGTTAAGAACGGACCTCCGGAACGAATTAAGTGCTTAACCCGAGGTACCACTGTAGAATCGTAGAATTGGAAGAGTTGGAAGGAACCCCAAGAATGATCTAGTCCAGTGCAGGAATCTCAACTAAAGTACCCATAACAGATGGCCACCCAGTCTCCTCTTTTCCAGGCTAAACATACCCAGTTCCCTCAACCGTTCCTCGTCAGACTTGGTTTCCAGACCATTGATTATCTTGTACCCATCCCAGCTTATCAATATCCTTCTTAAATTGTAGCACCCAGAACTGCCCACAGTATTCCAGGTGTGAACTGACCTGGAATACAGTGGCACTATTACTTCCCTTGATTGGGAAACTAAACTTCTGTCGAGGCAGCCTAGAAGCGCATTAGCTTTTTTTGCTGCTGCATCACACTGTTGACTCATGTTAAGCTTGTGTCCTGGGTTTGATCTCCGACATTTCCAGGAAGAACCAGGAACGCTGACGAGCCACTGTCAGGCAGTGCGGACTGTGCTGAGCCGGTTGCAGCAATGGACTGACTCAGTATAAGGCGGCTTCCTCTGTCTCTAAAAGCAGAGCCTGGAAATGGCAATAAGAGAAGCAGAGTGACACGGATGAAATCCTCCCATCTTGCTGGGAGGAAGACGAAAGGCAGTCTAAAGGCAGCTGAATGGAGAAGCAGCAAAGGTCACAGAGCTGTGGTTCTCACGTTCTACTCCTTGGCGGCTGGATCATGTCTAGTAAACTATTCACCGTCCAGCAGTTGGAGCACCATCCACGAAGAAGCCATCCCACTCACCCAGCTGCTTTGTGTCCATCTCCCTTGAAGATGAAGAATGATCTGTGACCAAGTCTGTGGCCCCGACCTGACACTGGAGCATAGAAGAAAAAACCCTAACCAGCACCAAATTTGTGTGTTGTGGGCAAGGAGTAAATGTTTCCAGCTGAGCAAAGCTTGAAGAATTGACTGATGAATTATGCAGAATTGGCAAAACTGACGGCTAGACTGTGAGAAAAGGACAACAGTGACTTTGAAAAAGAGTGAGAACATTTTATATTATATTTGCAGACACAAAAAAAATTGACTCGATGGTAGGATTTAAATAACCATTCACACCTTTATTGATAAAGGTAAAGGTAAAGGTACCCCTGCCCGTATGGGCCAGTCGTGTCCGACTCTAGGGTTGCACGCTCATCTCGCTCAAGAGGCCGGGAGCCAGCGTTGTCCGGAGACACTTCCGGGTCACGTGGCCAGCGTGACTAAGCGGCATCTGGCGAGCCAGCACCAGCGCCGCACACGGAAACGCCATTTACCTTCCCGCTATAAAGCGGTACCTATTTATCTACTTGCACTTAGGGGTGCTTTCGAACTGCTAGGTGGGCAGGAGCTGGGACCGAATGACGGGAGCTCACCCCGCCGCAGGGATTCGAACCGCCGACCTTGCGATCAGCAAGTCCTAGGCACTGAGGTTTTACCCACAGCGCCACCCACGTCCCATGATAGAAAAGAAAATCAATAAAAAATTCTATATATATATAGGACTCTTTCGCTACTTCCCCTGCAATGACAGAGCCCTTTGGCCAGGTCTTTCCTAAACACAGAATGTGCCAGAACTCCTTCACAGGAGCTCCCCTGTCCAGTTCTCAGGGAAAACTCAATTGAATTTGTGTGTGTATTTGGGAGCAGAGTGTGTGGGCCAGGTACTTGAAAGGACATCACGGGGGGGGGGGGGAATATGCTTGATAAAAGTGCAGAAGTATTACACCGGCTCAAACACTTGAACTTGATTGTGTACATTCTTACTCAGACTGTAAGTTTCAGTGAATGATATGGGCCTTAATCTAAGGTTACCAGATTTTTTCAATGAATCCGGGGTCATTTTTCAGTAGGAATGATAGAATTTTGTATGGGGACTGATCTGTAAATCGGGGGACTGTCCCCTTACCTTAATCTCGAGTAAGGGCATTTGGCATTGCAGTTCCTTTAGTTTCCCTTCCCAAGTACAAATTAAGATATCATTTACATACACAGCAAAATGAGTAGACTATACCTTTCAGAGTAGTGTGGGAAATGCTCCCTCACATCAAGAAAATCAACCTGCCTGCAACTACCAAGAGAAATAACTAAGTTCTGGCGCAGATCCTTCCTTGCAATGTTATTTTCCAGGGGTTTTTTTTGCTGCTGCTGCAAAATAGCTAGAATTACTCTTGCATCACCTCGAAAGACTGGTTGAATTGGATGGAGGCAGTGGATTTTTATCACGCTGCATGTGTTAACTGACTTACAAATGGCAGGATGTCTGGATCATCAACATAACTGGCTGAGTGTGTGTGAATATAACACCTGAACTTTTCTACATTTCATTTCCTTTCGATGTCACAGCTTACAATTCACCCCTTCCCCGCCCATGCAATCTCTCTGTCTCTCTCTCTCTATTACACCAACTCAGTATAACAATTCATGCATTCGACAAAATGCATTGTAGCTGACAACAGATTTTGCTATCATGAGTTCCTTAGTCACTGCTTCAAGGCTCTCTTTTGTTTTTTCCTGGAGGTGCTTAAAATTTAACAGGGAACACATAGAGTGCTGCTGCCACCTGGGGGAAGCAGTGTGACACGAACACTTGAAATGTGGGTAAACAGATGTGCAGCTGAAAGCTGTGGAAACAAGTCAGGATTGATGCCGAATGGAAATAGCAACTGGAAGAAGCAGAGATGGACTCCTTTCACGGAACCAAGTTAATCTACCCGCTATCCCACTTGTTCCTTGTGTCTTTTAAAAAAACCTGCATTATTTTCTAGTCCCAGTGTGGCTATTTCAGTTTTGGCTAACCTGATGTCTTCTGACTGCTTTGGATGGCAACTCCACCAGCCCCAACTAGCACAATTGGTGGAGGCTGCCTGCACCATGAGGGGCAGACGGGGAAAGCAATGCAGATATTCTGGATATTCCATATCCGGAAACATCATCACTGCACCCTGGGCACCTTGACTGGGTCAGGGTCTCACAATAGGGTGTGGGTGCCATCGCTGCTGCAGCTCCAAGAAGGCAAGTTTATGAAACCAGGGAAAGTCGTCCTTGTCCTTGCTGGGCGTTACTCCGGACACAAAGCTGTTATTGTTAAGAATATTGATGATGGCACCTCTGACCACCCCTACAGCCACGCTCTGGTGGCCGGCATCAATCGTAACCCACGCAAAGTAACAGCAAGCATGGGCAAGAAGATTGCCAAGCATTCCAAGATCAAGTCCTTTGTGAAGATCTACAATTACAGCCATTTGATGCCTACCAGGTACTCCGCTGATACTCCCCTTGACAAGACTGTTGTCAACAAGGATGTCTGTAGGGACCCTGCGCCGAAATGTAAAGCCCGGTGGGAGGCCAGAGTGAAATTTGAGGAGATACACAAGACAGGCAAGAACAAGTGGTTTTTCCAGAAGCTCAGATTCTGAGTGGCATGCATTTGCACCAATAAATATTTTTTTGGGGGGAAGAACAATGGGGGGGGGACCGATCCAGGCATCTTTTGAATACAGACGAGAGAAGTATTAACCATCCTGAACAGGTAAGGCGGTCGATTTAACTTTCACTGTCAATACAGTAAACAAAACCCGATCAATATGGCTTTCCCTACAAATGATGGGTCATCATTACACACCTTTGTGGCAACTGAGCCCACAATGGTTTTTGACAAGAGTTATATGGTACAACATTTGCAGACATTGCATCAGGGAAGGTTTTCATGGCACTATGACTTGGGAGACGCCTCCCCACGAAATCATGAGCTTTGACATGCTGTGCATCAGGGCACACTTCCCCATGCCCACATATAATAGTTGAGTTGGAAGCGACAGCAAGAGTCATCTAGTCCAACCCTTTGCAATGCAGGAATCTCAGCTAAAGCATCCAAAACAGAGGGCCATTCAACCTCTGCTTTGAAACGCCCACTGAGTCCACCTCCTCCTGAAGGATTTCGTTCCACTGTCAAACAGCTCTGATGTTTAGTTGGAATCTCACTTTTTGTAACTTGAAGCCATTGGTTTGAGTCCTACCCTCCAGAGCGGGAGAAAACATCCAGCACTGCAGTGCAGAGGGTTGGTGTGCAGGAAATGTACCTCACACAGGCCAAGAAAGGTGAGCCACCCATTTTATGGAGGACGGGTTCCTGCTCTAAGGAGTTCTACCATCTGAAGTTCAATGCAGGGGAAACAAGGGGAAGCAGAGGCAGCAAAATACAGGGAAGCAACAGGCGGCTGCTTCAGTAACCCCACTTAGACTCAGTTACAGCAGGGCAGCCTTTGCCAAGAGATATGCCATCTGCAGTGGGTGGGAGTTGTAGTCCAAAAACTATGGATTTCACCAGGTCAAGGAAGGATGCCATGGACGATGCCAAGGACTGGAGAAGGGGGCACGTCTGCAACCAGTGCTGGTAAGCTATGCCCCCTCCTCTTTCATCCTCTCTTTTATTGCAGAATAGTAAGGTAGTGGGTGGCGCTGTGGTCTAAATCACTGAGCCTCTTGGGCTTGCCAATCGGAAGGTTGGCAGTTCGAATCCCAACAGGGTGAGCTCCTGTTGCTCTGTCCCAGCTCCTGCCTACCTAGCAGTTCGAAAACTTAGCAGTGCAAGTAGATAGATACCACTGCAGCTCTGGCTTCTGTCAGTGTGTCCCGTTGCACCAGAAGTGGTTTAGTCCTGCTGGCAACATGACCCAGAAAGCTGTCTGTGGGCAAACGCCGGCTCCCTCAGTCTGAAAGTGAGATGAGCGCCGCAACCCCATAGTCGCCTTTGACTGGACTTAACCGCCCAGGGGTCCTTTACCTTTTACTGCAGAATCTAAGCAACCAATTGCATGTTTCTCCCTCTGTGTGTACAAATACATAAAACACAGTCCCCAATGCTAACAAACTATACCCAAACTTAAATATAAAACAAAAGCCGCAAGGAACAATGGCAGTGATTTAAAATTAAGACACGTAACTCCAGGGCTATGCGTTTTCAGAGTTTATTTTAAAACATTAAACTGAAGCTGAATAGAAACCACAGAAATTACATTTAGAACTTTTTGTTTAGCATTTGCTGAACAAGGGGGGGAAAGAAAACCCAAACCAGTAAAAAAAATTAAAAAATGGTTACAGTACAATTTAATAAAACTAATGAGAGGAAAGGGAAGGATACAAAAACAGGCTCACTCCTCAGTTTATACCCCCACAAAATTTCAAAACATTTGGGGTAAGTGCAGAACACTTGAAAGCAACTAGTCATGTTCAAAGGCTTAAAAAAAATACACACACATACACATGTATCTTTATATATGTATAAAGTGGCATGATATACAGTACAGCCATTGTGGTTTTAAACAAAACCAAGTTAGGAGAGAGAGAAAACGTCAGTTTTGTCTTCACTGGTATGTTTCTGTGACAGTAAGTCAAAAGGTGAGGGAGAGAAGCCGGAAGAGAGAAGTCCTCAGGCAATTCCCACGTTGACTCTTGTTAACAAAGGATCCAGGACCGATGTTACAGCTAGGGTTGCCAACTGACCAGGAAAAGCAGCCTGGCCTATTCTTGTGCCTTTCCTTGCAGATCACTGCCCAGAAAGCATAACCATCTTTTTGCAGCACGGGGACAAAGACAGTCACCTCCCAATTGTGGCTGCCATTGGTCTGCTAATGAAAAGCACAGCTACCATAGCTGGATCATCCTAGATGGCAAATCCCAGAAGCAAATTTAACAGCACCAAAACACCTGATGCAATGTGTGTGTGTGTGTGTGTGTGTGTGTGTGTGGTAGCAACATTCTTGCCAACTACTTCCAACGCTCTCTGGAGATGGAGCCCTTGTGGTGGAGAAATTCAGAGTATAAGAATCCTAACGTAAAATAGAAAAAACCAACATTGCATAGAGAGGACAGTGTTGTTGTTGTTGTTGTCGAAGACACTCAGCACCTAGAATGATCCTGAGGGAGTAGAGCAACTCCTCTTTAAATATTGAAAGGAGTAACGCTTTGCTTTCCTCATAGCTGCCTGCTTAAAAACTGGCCTTTTCTTCCTCTTTTTTGGTCCAAGTGCACCCAGAAGGGGCAGTTTTCAGTTATAAATAAATAAATAAAAGCCCACACCGCTGAATCTTCCTGTGCAGGATGTCAAAAGCAAAACTTCACCCAGTTGGGCGAGAGGAGAGTCGCCTCGTTTACAGAGGAAGACTGAAGTCTAGCGAAGCCAAGCCATCTCCCCAACCCCACCGCCAAACTCTCATCCGACAACTGCATGTCAATCAAGAATGAAAAAAGTCTAGGCTCTAGGGGATCCCAGCTCTCACTTTGATGGTCCCATCAAGTTTCCCATTCCTCTTCTTTCTCTTGGGCAAGCTCAAAAATAAAGATTAGCAGCTGAGATTCTTTCTTGTTTTAGCAGATAACATTCCAGGAATCAAACTCTGCTGTCCTGCAACTAGCTGTGCATAGCAATTTCTCTCTCTCTCTCTCACACACACATAAATGGCTAAGATCCAAGAAGCTACTCTAGAGCAGGCTCCCTCAAACTCAGCCCTCCAGATGTTTTGAGACTAGAATTCCCATCATCCCCGACCACTGGTCCTGCTAGCTAGGGATCATGGGAGTTGTAGGCCAAAAACATCTGGAGGGCCAAGTTCGAGGAAGCCTGCTCTAGAGCTTTCCAAAGGCTCTCACATGCCCCGTAGACTCCTTCCAAACAGCAAGCTCCCATGTGGCTCAGGGCCTGCTCCTCAAGACAAAAGTTCAAACTGGGTTAGACTTAAGGTTTTTGGGGTCCTGGCCAGCCATTAGTTACAACAAGGTGGGGAAAGCCCTCCAGATGTAGCTGAATTACAGTTCCCATCATCCATGATGGTTCGAACCATTGGCTGGGGCTAATGGGAGTTGGAGTCCAACAACATATGGACACTGGTTTCCCACCCAAATTACAGATTAAACATGAGTAACAGAAATGGGAAATATCTAAGGTGAAGAAAAGGGGAACCCAGCTGATTTAATATTGCAGGCAATTCAAAGAGAGCACAATGAATTATAGCCTGAAAATTCAGGAAATGTATGAGATAAATGTTTGTAAGGAGTTGCAATCCAAGCCTCCTAGCTATTAATCCTCATGGGAGGCTGGTCCTGGAAAAGAAAGATCTTGCCTGATATTCAAAGCCTTGCTAAGGATGGCAGAGAGTCTGTACGCTCTCCTGAAACGCTGGCTGAGAGCAGGCAAGAACAGTGTAAGTTAACACTGGCTTGTATCCGTGTGGCCTTTTAAGAAGTATTTTTTGCATGTGAATCACATAAGCTTGCCTCCAGTTCACGAATACCACACGGAAACTTATGCATGGGACACATTTCACACAACCAAAACTATCCCACAGTATCTCTGTTACAATCTGACACACAGCATTATGTGAAATGGTCCTATGACTTTCAGCCTTCCATGCTGAAGTAGGAACTTGAACTGCAGGCTAAAGCTGTGTCAAAAGAGAGCAGCTCAACTTCTTTCTCATGGCCACTGCGACATTGATTACTGCAAAATGTAGGTAGTATTCTTCCCCTTTGTGAACACACACTATGCTCATCCTAACAGGGGATAAAGAGCAGAGGCGGCACAGGCTTTCTAAATAGTGTTTAGCACCAAGAATTTCAAGACATGCACGAATTCAAGCCACGTGAAACTGGCTCCTCATCTCCTTACAGTAAGTAGCCCGCCAGGAGTTTCAACACTTCCAGGCAGGCAGAAAAACAAAAACAGGCGGCTTGTTGAGTGAGGTGTGCTGTTTGGCTTGGTAGGTCACAAGCTGTATGGCCCAGATGAATCTAGGCACCACCAAGCGTCTGGGCTAAGCAGTAATATGGAAGCTTTAATTATTCTTGGAAATCGTACCCTGAGCACACACACACAAACACCTTTCCATGAACATGCAATCTGCGGCTTGGGAAATTCTGGGCCTCCCTCTCCTTCCATCACTGCTAAGCTGGTCACACCAGAGGCACTAAATGAAAATATGTTTCCAGTGGTATTTAATAAGGAATAGGGGACAACAGACGAGAATCGAACTCCTCAGATCGGCATACGTGGATGAACGCCAAGTTCGTACACTGAACCCTTCTTTTTTCTTTTTCTTTTAATAAGCAAAAATGAACTCAAAATGGAGTCAGCTAACATTAACATACAGGATACAAAACACTACACTTATTTCCAGGACAGCACACACACAAAAAAATAAATTCACAGCCAAGTCTTGATTCAATTTCCTTTTTTTTTTTTAAACGATTACAATGCAGTCTTGAACACTGGACGCAGAGAGTCCAACATGCTATATACATTTCACATTGTGGAGATGTTTGTGTGCTTGACAAGGTTCTTGGTTCACAATTTTTTTTTAATAAAAAAAGTGCTGTGACAATGCCATGGGGGTTTTTTTTTGGGGGGGGAAGGGGAGGAACATGACCAAATAAAGCAGACAAGCAGATGGCCACAGATGCACTGGGGGGTGGGGGAAGAGAAAGAAAATCAAAAGGAGAGTCTTTACCACTCCAGTTTCCCATTCCGATGTCTCACTGCCTCATTTAGATTCTAATCAGACAGTACTAGGTATTGGTCTTCCTCCCTCTCCAGAATTTCAGAAACTAAATCAAAGTTAGGGCGATGGTTCTGAAATGATTTGGAAGTCGCTGAGGAAATCAGCCAGGACACATTCCAAGCAATATGGTCTTGAGATTGTCCCCCACCCCCCACCCCCATCACATTACTTAAAAACTCATACAAATTAGGACAGAGAAAAAATAAAGTTTTTTGTGGTTTCACTTGCTATACCAAAGATATTTAAGAGCCCCAACAGGCACCAAAGCCAGCTAAAAGATAAAACCGGCCAGTCAGCAATTTGGAATTAGTCTGTTCGGAAGCTGGCCTGGAGGACAGGGCAAGGGGGGGGTGGAACAAATGATGCAGAGAACTCCTGAGAAGCAGATTCCACAGACATGCTGCAACCACAGATGGTTTGGGATTGCACAAGAGACTGCATAGAGACACCTCACTTGCAGGTCACCACTGTGTGCACTTCTCCTCGTGCCAGTGCAAATGCCCCCACACGCCAGCTTCTTTTTCAGAAGTAGGTCCACTTAAACTAGCCTTGGAAAATCCCCACGTGCTGTTGGTGTCACTCAGGAATCCATATCGGTGTTGTTCTTTTTGTTTTTTTTAAAAAAGAGGTTCAATTAAAAACCAAGTTGAGTCTTGCCCACGTTAATTAAGATATACACCAAGGTCCGGCATTGCATGCAACGAGGCAGTTAGATGCTGCGACTCTACGGAAGTTGGAAAAAAAGTCACATCAAGTCCAGAGTCCCCCAGTCGAATCCACACAGTAGAGACCTTGCAGCTTTGCCTTATAGCATCACTTTTCCCCAAATGGTCTCCTTCTAGAAATCCAATGGAAGATACTAAGCACATCTCCATTTGGCAATTCATGATCCACCAGTGTACCCGGTTGCTCCTTCCTCTTCAGAGCATAAGTTGCAGCTACACCTTGGACGAAGGCAATTTCTATAGTGGTTACTGTAATGTTATTGTTGGTCCCTTGGTTAGCATCAGTATGGACAGACCGCATTTACTGGAGCATCTGCAGGGGGTTGGGCTACTTGACCCTTGGGGTCCTTTCCAAATCTACAGCTCTATGATTTCATACTCTGTGAATCTCTTCCTTTCTACACTAGTGGGTGTGGGGTGGGAGAGACCTTGATTGAAGGCTTGCCTTTCTCAAGCCATTAAAAATCATGGCTAGGCTACCAAGGGTGCTATTTGGGGGCTGCTTCTCCAGTATAATCTAAAAACTGTTCCATAAATTTAAGGTGTTTCAAGTGTACACCTACATTTTTTTGTTTTAGAAGCATGAACAAACAAGGTGTTTCAAAGCCATGTACCTAAGCAGAATGAGGATTAACTCCCAACTGAGTGTGCACTCAATGGCAAATGTGGGTTTGCTGCTTTGCAATGCACAGTATGGTCCTTAGAGTGGGAAAAGAGACCTGTTTTGGAGCTGGCCAGATGGAAAGTGATTATTAAAAGGTTGCCGGATGGCAGGGAGGACATAAACATTTACAGTCTTTAACTTTTTAGACCCCTCTCCTATTAGTATTGGGTAGCATATGACCAGAATCTATACCCAGAGGTAAATTTAAAGGCTTACTATGCTGTTCATAATACACGTAAATCTTTTTGAAAACTGACTGAAGGCTGTTTCAATCTTTCTTTCTATCCTTCTGCAGGCAGCACCCAAAGATCCCATGGTCCTCTAGCATCCTCCACTTTCTCAGTAAGCAGACTGCAAAAGAGTCACACCCTTGTAGGAAGTAACCTGCTTCCAAGGAGAAGGCATACAAACCTTCCCCTGAAAAACAGCCCTTTGCTAATGGAAGAGATACGGGTTATCAAGTGGGTGAACAGCTCAGTTGATTAGAGCGTGGTGCTACTAACATCAAGGCTGCAGGTTTGATCCATATGGGGCAGCTGCATGTTCCTGCATTGCAGGAGATTGGACTAGATGATCCTCAAGGTCCCTTTCAACTCTACAATTCTATCATTCTATGTCTGGAGGAGTTCTCCTCCAATACTGTCCTAGGTGATGGGACAAACTCACTGTGGCTTCTATGTGAACTTAAATGAGGACCCCCCAAGTTCTGACACAGGTGCCACGCAAAAAAGTGATCTGGTATCCCAGCTAACATTGGGAGGTATTTTACCCTGTCTCTAGTCACTTGTTGAGGGATAAGTTACACAGAAATGAAAAATCAAAGTATTAAATACGTAAAGGCCTTCCCTGTCCAGTATTTCCTGTTGTCACCCCCCACCCCTGGTCCCCCATGGTTTTTTATCAAATAGAGCACCTTCAATGCAGCAGCTGTGGGACTGGTGCAGGCATCCCTGAACTTTGATCTCTCTCAATCTGCCGTTGATCTTTGTTGCCAGCACACATCATTTTAAGAGGCAACTGGAATGTGGTTTGTGCAGCCAATATGAGAGATTAGCATGGCGGGCCAAAGAGGGTGGTGGGAGAAAAAGCAAATATCAAACCTGTTCTGACATTCACAGTATTTTTGCTCCCCAATTCTGGGATACAGGAGTAGCATAAATCTGTAGATTGTGGAGCTCTCCCAAAGGTCTGTATCTGAATCCAACGCTTCTAAGGTCTTGCATGTCCCAATGCTCAGAACAAGCAGTAAGTCCATCTTGCCACAGGGGAACATTTGCACCGAACCTGGCTGGCACTCTTAGTTGCGCTTTTATCATGTTACACTCGTGCCATGCGGCCAACAGCAGAGATAAGATGCTTCTCTCCCCCGTCTAATGCTCCTTAAGCATTGTCCTGAAATATTTTGGCACCAGAAGGAATGCTGGCTCCAGTTTCATGTCTGTACATCAGTGTCAAAGAACTTCTGCTGATTGCTATTAGAAAGTCTAGTGGCAAAGTAGAGTGGGAAAATTCAGCACAGCCGATGTGAACTCATCCATGCATGTGGGTGCATGCATAGCGTGTGGGGAGTGAGGATACAGCAGTTGGCAAGGGAAGCCCCCTACTTCTCCCCAGGTGTTTGCACCTAGGTCTAAAGAGAGGGAGAGAGAAGTAAACGTACTGGAAGAGGATGATTGAATCAGCAGGCCTTCTCATTCTAACACGGAAGGAAGAGGTGGCCTCCCAGATTTGTCGATCCTGGAATGAAGAGACGCTTCTCTAGAGTAGCACAGAGATGAGAGATATGCAGTAGAAGCTGAGTGCACGTGAACTTTACGACACTGTGCGCATTAAATATGGCTTCCTTGGATTAGTATGTCGCATCCATAGTACTTCTGTAAGATGATCCACTTTTTCTAGGCTTGACTCACGACACCATTTTCGTCCTCAATGAATTAGACAGAGGCCTGGCAGAAAAGGTGGCAAGCGGTTTGCAATTTCCTGATTGGCGGTCAACAAAAGCTGATCCGACACATAGCAGGGCAACATGGGTGAACTGGCGAGTCTCCTGCAGGTGTGCACAGGACCTTGCTCCTCTGTCCACTCCTGCACACACAGGTGCAAGTAAGTATAGCCTTAATCAGGAATAAGCTTCCACCTAGCTTTGCCCCAAGTGCACTCCAAAGGGGTGGAGAAGCAAGAAAAGCAACTGAGCTGGATTCAGGACAGAAAAAAAGCAGGGCTGTTCTGCGAGGACAACACAGGATGGCAGCAGTTGGCACGTTTTGTTCCTTTTTTTTTTTAACATAGACCACATTCTAGTTTTTAATGCACACTGCCAGAGTCTGGGCGAGGCTGGTTGGTGGCGAGGTATTTGGCTCTCATGCTGGAGGTGTACTGGAGAAAGAGAAAAAAACACAAAGAAGATAGTAGATCAATTCAGAGCAATCGGCAAGACCTTAAGACTCAAGTATTGCTTGACACATCCCCTTGTATTAAGATTTGAAGTTAAATATCAAATGGTTATTCATCCTTTCCCACGCCTTAACAAAAGGTTCACCTAGGCTTCTGACAGATGCCAGAACCAAAACTCCTGGGTGTAGAAGATATATGCATAACAAATCCCATGATTTTTTGAAGGAAAGCCTCGGCAGTTAAGCTGGTATAAAAACAAACCTAAATTTGGAATTTAGACAGGCCATGAGTGATACGCCTATTTATAAAATGCTTGCAGTGCTCAATCCAAGTGCTCCCTGATTAAACATTGAGGAGAAAAAGAGGAGAAAAAGCAGAGATTTGGCTCACCAGATTTCCTCTTTCAATCATGCAAAAAAAGGAAGAGATGAGTGGCAACATATAGATACATTGCTATATCTATATTTTTTACTATGAAAGAAAAAAATGGAAAATTTAAGGGCAGCATATGTGTTGCAAACTGAGGGCTGCCCAGGAACCCATGCTGGGAGGTATAAAGCAGGGTCAGGTCTTCTAGAGGCATTGCTACAATCACTGGCACAAGGTGGGAAAGAGGAGCTAGTGAGGGGGACACAATCCTACCTTTCTGTCATATAATGCAACAAAACACATTGGTAAGAAGCCGATTATGCATATATATATATATATATATATATAGGCATTTGTTATACACACTTGAACCAGCACATAATAAAAATAACCCAACATAAAAACCAACAGTCCAAACATTGATACAGTCCACCCTACAAATCCATCCATCCATCCATCCATCCATCCATCCATCCATCCATCCAGGAGCCAGCTAAAACACAGCAGAGCACCCCTTCAGCTGCAGGGCCATGCCTTTAAAAGTGACATTTTCACTTGCCAATGGAAGAACGACAAGGAGGAAGGAACCCAGGCAGATATGCCAGAGGATGGTCTGAGGACACAAGATGTAGCACCCTGAGCTCCCTACTCTGGCAGCTGGTAGTTCTGGGTCTGGGTTGGTACCTGGGCAGTAGACCACTGGAAATCCTTTGCATGCTGCTTTGAGTTCCAAGGTGGAAGAAAGGCACAATATAAATGAAATGAAATAAAGTAAAAATAAAAGTGTCTCCCAAGGAAGTGTGTTTCCTCCTT